TTATAAGCACTTTCCATCTGCAGTGAGCCGAGGAGGGAAAACATGTGGGCTTATTTTAGACCCAGCAGCATTTTTTCCTGCTCTGGCCCTGACCCTGACAGGTGCAACGGCCACATTTAGATGCTCCGGAGCTCAAAATAGGACAGAATTTACAATGGAGCTTCCTTTGGGTTCCCTCCTTTGGGTCTTATTTATGCCCTCCGGGCACAGGGCTGAGCCGGGCCAACCCAAGACGGCCGGCCCCCAAAGAAGAGTCGCAAGAGGGACGCAAACACACAGACGGCTCTGCTGAGCCTCGAAGGGAAGGATTGTGATCCTCTGAGCCACCAAGATTATTTTGGCACAGGAGACACCAGTCCTTCCCCATCCCGCCTCTCCCCCAAATCTCTAGTAATACATACTCAGTGATAACCTATTAAATAACTGGCCATCGGCTGCTCTTTCATGATGTTCAGCCTTGGCCAGGATTTGAACGCTGTGGTTGCTTGGCATTGGCCTTTCCGCCAGGCAGGCATTTTTATTGCACCAGCCCGTCCTGTCCTTACACTCAGAACAGACAGGCCAAGACCTTGCCCGCACACATGCTCCGTTTCCACCAGCAGGAGCAGTGCATGAGCCCCAGCAAGCGGGGATCTGGCCCCTCACGCTCAGCGCCAGGAATTACGAAGTCAGCGCTTGCCGGCCAGATCCATCCTGCCCACCCTTTGTGCTTCTTTAGGCGCAGCCCCTTCCAGGTCCCTACTGATCTCCACCAGCACCAGCACCCCACGCTCAGCGCCAGGAATTACGAAGTCAGCGCTTGCCGGCCAGATCCATCCTGCCCACCCTTTGTGCTTCTTTAGGCGCAGCCCCTTCCAGGTCCCTACTTCTGATCTCCACCAGCACCAGCACCCCCCTCAATGACCCACGTCCAAGCTAGATGAGGAGGGAGGGAGGGGGGCCAGTAGGGGCACCTTTGTGCTTCTTTAGGCGCAGCCCCTTCCAGGTCCCTACCTCTGATCTCCACCAGCACCACCCCCCCCCTCAATGACCCACGTCCAAGGTAGATGAGGAGGGAGGGAGGGGGGGCCAGCAGGGGCTGCTGAACCTCAGGCCAGGCACTTGGGAGGCCTCCATCCTTCCAAGAAGCCTTAAAGGGGATGATGCCTGTGAAAACCGAGCCTCTGGTCAGATGAGCAAAAGCCGAGGCAGGACTCCTTCCACGGGACTCAAGTAAACAACCTGCGGTTAAAACAAAACCGTTGCACCCGAGCCCTCCTCTCCCTGAAAAAGAGAGGCAGGAGGACCATGTCCATAGAGAGGCCATCCCTTCCTCTTTTGAAACATTCACAAGGGAGCAGCTTCTGGTGAACGACAGATCCCTGTTCGGGCCCACAAAGCTCCAGAGAGCAGGATGGAGCAGAAAGCACAAGAAGGCAGGGAAGCTACAACCAACGCTTGCCAGAAGAAGGAGGGAAAGATCTTTTAATGCAAAAGCTGACAGGTAGAAGCAGACTGGCCTCCGGCTTTCCGGCCAACGAGGTCAGAAACCGAGATGCTCCCTCAAAAGCTCAGCAGGTCACAGTTGAAGAGTTTGCAAGCTGTCCCGTTTGGACGAAAGGTGATCCCCTCTGTGGAAGAACTTGGTGTGAGGGCCTTAAAACCAGCTTGTGATGCATCCCTTTTGCCAATTCACTGCACAAAGGAACAAGGCACGCACGCCCTTCCATGTCCCCAAAATGAGAGCCACAGGGTGTTTGCTTCAGGACCACCAACCCTTCTATGAAACAGGAGGTCTCGAGAAGGCCCAGATGTTCAGATCAGATCCCTCCATTCTGCCGTCTCAGCCTCCGTGGGGCAGGCTTTTTGCTGCTCAATGCTCACCACCACCACCACCACCCCTGCCCCCCCCCCAGGAGGTGCTGATGGCATGAATCGGTTTCTTTTCGTGGCTCAGGTTGCAGGGGGGCAGCAGGAGGCCTCCTCGTGCCGCAAGAGCAGGGACATCCGCGAGAAGGTCTTCAGGCAGGCGTGGCACTGGTACTTCTTGATGTCGGAATGCGTCTGCAGGTGGGCCCGGAGGTTGGAGCGGTCGGCGAAGGCGCGGCTGCAGTGCGAGCAGGCATAGGGCTTCTCCCCTGGGAAGAGAGGCAACGCAGGTGGTCGGTCAGGAGGGGCAGGGCAGGCGTGGAAGCATCCTGAACTTGGAAACAGTCCACTAACAGTTCAGTAAGAATTTGTTACTGCGACCACGAATTCATTCTGGATTGTCTCATCACCGGGCAGCAGGAAAAGGGGAAGACCAAATACAAGATGGACGAACTCCCTAAAGGAAGCCACAGGCTTGAGTTTAAAAAAAGCTGCACAGGGCTGTTGAGGACGGGACAGTTTGGAGATGGCTCATCTGTGGGGTTGCCATAAGTTGGAGGTGACTTAATAGACCATTGCAAGAACAACACCTAATTCAGATAAATTTCCAGCAGCAATTTTAAAGTTTGATACATTCGTTGTCAAATGCCAGTGACGCTTAAAGAGTTCAATTATTTTCTGAGCCACAGCGAAAAGCTCTCCTTGCTTTAAGGGTGTGTGTGTGTGTGTGTGTGTGTGTGTGTGTGTGAGAGCTTCTTAAAAAGAAGCGGGATCTAACTACTGGTATCTCTTGGGACTTCTTAAAATCTGTTTTAGAGTTCCTGCTTCATCAGCAGAAGGCTCTCTTCTAACTCCACCATTCTCTGATTGTCATTCATGTCAAATGATGTTTCTAATCTGACAAATTGCTGGGCAAGGATTCGTTTAGACCAAACCTCTTAACATTTTAACATCAGCAAGCTGAAATACTCCAGCAGTTTAGCCAGCTCGGGTCCCCTTATGGGCAGACAGGCAGTCTTTAAAAACAAACAAACAAACAAATAAAAAGAAACAAATCTCTTCCCCTCTCTGCCCTACCCATGTTGGCAACTCCCATCCGTCCTAAGGAGGATGTGCAGTGCTGGGAGGAGCAGTTCGACAATATCTTGGAACTGTGTCCATCTCGTCCAGTCTGAACCCAACTGGGCCACCTTGAGATTCAGCCAATTAAGTCAACGGTACTCAGTTAAGCAAGGAAGGGAAGGGAATATTCTCAC